TGATTTCACACTGTAGATATACAGGCTACTGACTAGGCGTGCCTATACACAGGACATGCTGTCAGGGTCCTGTCCACAGCAAAAGTTCTGGAAGATCTGGCATTTTTGCCAGTACTCTACATGGCCGCAGAAGTACACATCAGCCTCAGTCTGGTGCCAGATGGCCTTTATAAGGAGGCTCATCACTTCCTCTAGTTGTTGGATGATCTCTAGCTCCCCATGCTGTTCCTGGTTCCTGCGATTTCCTGTTATCGACTCGGCTTGCTCCTGGACCGGTCTACTCTGATTTACCCCTGATCGGACCTCGGCTTGGCTTAAGGATACCCTCTCTCTCGCTCCTCTGTGAATGACCTCGGCTATCCCATGTGACTACGTCCGCTCTGATTTCCACCTGGCACCTGACCTTGGCTTGAACAGGCGCCTCCTGTCTGCAGACCTATCTCCGTGCACCAGCTGTGCTTCTGAGTGGACCACCAACCAGCACTCCTACAGGCGACCTGTGCAACTTTGGGCCTGACTCCCGCTGTCCCACTCTCAGGGGAGTCCGGAACTTAGCCGCAAGGGAACCCCTCTCTCCATTGGCCTCCATCACCAGGTACGTGATACATGCACTGCCTTTTTCAAGAGAAACTCAATACAGAAAGGGTACATTTTTCAAGGTACTCTTTAGGAACAATTACCATTTCCACATGTTCCAATAAGAACATTTTCACTTTATATTTAAGGGTTACTAAACCCACAATAATAAAATCAGTCTGTATATGCAGTATAGCATGCTTGATATACTCACTGTGGAACCTAAGGGGTTATTCCTGTGCATTTAACGTCCTTACAGGATGTCTTCAACTTACAAGCCGACCTCAATGCTCTGTATAATTGGGCAACTATGTGGCAAATGAGGTTTAATGTTGATAAAATGTAAGGTTATGCACTTGGGGGCTAAGAATATGCATGCATCATACACACTAGGGGGGGTACAACTGGGGGAATCAATGGTGGAGAAGGATCTGGGGGGGGGGGGTCAATGGTAGATCACAAGCTTAATGGCATGCAATGCCAAGCTGAGGTTTCTAAAGCGAGCAAAATCCTCTCTTGTATTGGGAGAGCTATAGACTCGAGAGAGAATTTCCCCCCGGTACAAATCATTAGTAAGACCTCATCTGGAATACGCAGTTCAGTTTTGGGCACCAATTCACAAATAGAACATTGAGGAACTGGAGAAAGTACAGAGAAGGGGAATCAAACTGATACAAGGCATGGAGGAGCTCAGCTATGAGGAAAGATTAGAGGAACTAAATTTATTCTCTTAAGAAGAGGAGACTAAGGGGGATATGATCTCCATGTATAATACATAAGGGGGGATATGATCACCATGTATAATACATAAGGGGGGATATGATCTCCATGTATGATACATAAGGGGGGATATGATCACCATGTATAATACATAAGGGGGGATATGATCACCATGTATAATACATAAGGGGGAATGTGATCACCATGTATAATACATAAGGGGGGGATGTGATCTCCATGTAAAATACATAAGGGGGATATGATCACCATGTATAATACATAAGGGGGGGATATGATCACCATGTATAATACATAAGGGGGGGATATGATCTCCATGTATAATACATAAGGGGGGATATGATCTCCATGTATAATACATAAGGGGGATATGATCACCATGTATAATACATAAGGGGGGATATGATCTCCATGTATAATACATAAGGGGGGATATGATCACCATGTATAATACATAAGGGGGATATGATCTCCATGTATAATACATAAGGGGGGGGGGATATGATCACCATGTATAATACATAAGGGGGGATATGATCTCCATGTATAATACATAAGGGGGGGATATGATCATCCGAAATTGTTATAATTTTTCCTGAAAATCATATTTCACACAAAAAAGGGGGGATATGTTTTGCTATACACATGTTTATCCATGAACAAATACATAAGGGGGGATATGATCTCCATGTATAATACATAAGGGGGGATATGAACCCCTCTGGACATGTTGGCACCTTAATATGCACAATGGAAAACATAACTGGGGGGGATATGATCTGACACCTCTCACCCCATGGTATAAGCTACTCTTAAGGGGGGATATTTTCTCCATGTTTTAATATCTCTCCAAGGGGGATATGATCTGGGCTCATGTAGAATACATGAGGGATTCTTTCTCCATTTGTAGAATACATTTTGGGGGGGGGGGGTTCTGGAAGACTCCATCTTGGACGCAAAATACATCAGTGGTTCATATAGTGAATTTCATGATGTAGAGTTATTCACCCAGTGCCAGAGGCAGCAAAACAACCCCAAAACATCATTGTCATTACAGAGGACAAGGGGGCGCTCTTTACGTGATGGAGGAAAAGAAATTTAATCTGTCCACAAGACGTTTTCCCAGGAAAGGTTTCATTTTCAAACTGTAGTAAGCTTTTTTATGCTGTGTCAGCAGTGGATGTGGAATAGACTCCCTCATTTAGATGTCGACGGTTGTTGGCCATGCTCAGTGCAGGGAATGTCTTTGGAACATGCTGTAGCTGAAAGTCCACCCTGGATTGTTTCTTGGATACAGGGAGATTAGCTACAGAAAATATGTTGCGCACTGTGGACAAAGGATGGAGATGGACTTGTAACCTTGAGATTGTTGATAACAATTTTTTATAGGTCCTCAGACAGTCGTCTCCTCCTTTCTGTTGTCCATGCTTAGTGTGTGGGACAACACACAATGCAAAGGTTAACTTGTGAACGTCTCTCCTTTTTATCTGCTCATTTCGATTTCTATTATTGCCCACCTCTCAGGTGGGGATCAGTTGGAAGGAATTTTTTCCCTGCAGGAGCAAATACTTGGCTCATGCTTTGGAGGGTGTTTTTTCGAATTTGCTTTCTTTCCTCCCTTTTTTTGATCAACTGTGGGTGTAGCAAAACAGGATTATATACTTTTTTCGTGAGAAATTTTTTTTTTTTTCGGCCATGACTGTACTAGATGGATCTCCATGTATATTTAAGGGGGGATATGTCTTTTTTCATAAGCCATGTATAAGACATAAGGGGGGATAACTATGTAATACATGCAGTGCAAGCATAACATGATCTCCATGTATAATACACTGCATAGATCTCCAGTAAAAAATAATATGCCTGTAGTTAAGTGTTTTTACTCTGTATACATTAGTTACTCTTTTGTGCATTTACCTTAGGTCATTACTTGTGCAGAAAAAAAAATGCATAAAGGTTTCTTCACAGTAAGAGCTGTGAGAATGTGGAATAGACTCCCTCAAGAGTTGGTTCTGGCCAACTCAGTGGATTGCTGTAAGAAAGTCCTGGATTCTTTCTTAGATACACAGAATATAACATTTATAGGTAAAGTTGATCCAGGGAATATCCGATTGCCTCTCGGGGATCAGGAAGGAATTTTTTTTCCCAGCAGGAGCAAATTGGATCGTGCTTTGCTGGGTTTTTTTGCCTTCTTCTGGATCAACTGTGGGTATACGATTAGAACTGTTTTTTTTTTTTTTTTTTTTAATGGTTGAACTAGATGGACTTATGTCTTTTTTCAGCTAGACAAACTATGTAATTGTGTAAAAACACGGTTTGATCCTGACTTCTCTGATCCTCCCCTTCTTCCAGTGTCCCCCAATTATCCCCGAAGACATATTGTGTGGAGACACTTTGCACATGCTCAGTTTGAAGTGTATTGCTAGAGGGTTTTTTTTTTTTTCTTGGGAGAGTGCAAGTGTTCAGCACAGGGCCAACCAGCACTGTCCAGACAGAGGTCAGGGGTTCTGCATCCTCCTAGAGCAGAAAGAAAACTCCTCCTACAAGCTTTAATCCGTGCTCTGCTGGTCACTGATAGAAGTCACAAGACTGCTCTAACTGCTGATGAGAAAAAGTATCTAGCAGTATTTATTTAATTAAATATTTGCATTTCCGTGTACTGTGGGAGACCAAATAGAGTGAATGCAGGGTCCTGGGTTTTAGTAACACTAACACAATAGGATACAGATTTGGGATTTTCTCATCTACAAAAACGTAAGCACCTCATATACATTTTCTTTACAATTTATTGGTTCGATTCTCTCATTATACAGTTTTGTTAGAATTCTTTACATTTTAAAAAAAAGATTGATAAAACAAAAGTCCTCCAAACAGGACCTAACAGATAAAGATTTTTTTTTTTTAACCAATAATGTATATGACCTAATTTTTTCACTCCAAGTTATGTATTGTACTTAGCACAAAAAGTACTCACACACGCTTGTACTTACACACACATACGTACATAATATCTCTCCGGATTTTCACAGAAAACCCAGTAGTGTCCACTTAATGAATCTGTCCACGGCTAATTACAGAGGCTAAGCTGGTTTAGTGTGGAGCTGCAGTCATTTCTGGACCTGACCGTGTATGTCGAAGTGGTCGTGGCATGGGTCCTTCTGGCTGGAATGTTCTGGAGTATTCCTGATCTCAGGTGCTGTACAAATACAGTTTGCTGGTGACAAAAACTAGGAGAGGTGTTATTACTGGAGGAGTACCTGGAGAGACAAGGCAGCGGTCACGACAACGGTGACGGTTCTGAGAGTGTCGGACACTTCAGACATTCCCTCCTGGAAAAAGCCAGTTTCTCGAGAAGAGAGGGACTGCAGCTTTAAAATTAAAAAAAAAAAAAAAGAAGAAAGGGGGGGGGGGGGGAATCTTAAGACTGTTTGCGAAAGTATTTCAAATTTAGGTAAAAGAAAACTTGAAAACTTCTTAAAAGAAGCACTTTTTGTAAAAGCTTTGATTCATTTTAAGACATAATTGGCTGACCAACATCTTTGAATAAAGCAGTCTAGACAGAACCAAAAAAAAAAAAAAAAATTCTGGGCAGGAACCATTTAATTGGAGCCCCTTTCATTCTAGTCTCTGCCCTCCAACGTGGGAAGGGGCAATTGGCAGCACTCGTTTATGCTGGGCTGCGTTCACTAGCTCCAGAGGCCGGCGTAGTTTCCGTGAAGACCCGTTGGCAGAGGACCACCTGCTACGAAGAGCTTCGTTCCAGACGAGTCGTAGCAGTGGGTGTAAACAGCATTTGGGCAGCAATCAATGTCAGAGAAGTAATTCCTCCACATGTCATTATGGTTCTGTGAAAAGAATAGGGGCAAAGTCAGTTCACCCAATTAAAAGGTAAAAATAAATACATTTTACACATTCACATTTTCTTGTGTTTTTGTGCATTCAAGTACAGAAAATGTTGATCTGTTAGAGATCAAGCTGATAATGAAGCCCTTGTGCACTGAAATCACAAGCCTCACCACCATTAGGAGGAGGAATTTTGTAATGCAGCTGGGAAGAACTCAAGCAGCGCTGACAACTCAGCTTGGGATTTCAGTGCAGCAGAGGCAGCACTCCCATCTTACTACAAGTTAAAGTGGAATTATCATCCCCTTCACTTGAGCGCCGTGGTTTCCCAGAGCTTCCCACTGGCATCTTCAGCAATTTTCACTGGCTGGGCCGAGAGCGCCATGATTTCCCAGAGCTTCCCACTGGCATCTTCAGCCATTTTCACTGGCTGGGCCGAGAGCGCCGTGGTTTCCCAGAGCTTCCCAATGGCATCTTCAGCCATTTTCACTGGCTGGGCCGAGAGCGCTGTGGTTTCCCAGAGCTTCCCAATGGCATCCTCAGCCATTTTCACTGGCTAAGCTGAGAGCATTGTGGTTTCCCAGAGCTTCCCGCTGGCATCTTCAGCCATTTTCACTGGCTGCGCCGAGAGCGCCGTGGTTTCTCAGAGCTTTCCACTGGTATCTTTAGCCATTTTCACTGGCTGGGCCAAAAGCGCCGTGGTTTCCCAGAGCCTCCCCTGGCATTTTCAGCCATTTTCACTGGCTGGGCTGAGAGCGCCGTTGTTTCCCAAAGCTTCCCCTGGCATTTTCAGCCATTTTCACTGGCTGGGCCGAGAGCGCCATGGTTTCCCAGAGCTTCCCACTGGCATCTTCAGCCATTTTCACTGGCTGGGCCAAAAGCACCGTGGTTTCCCAGAGCTTCCCACTGGCATCTTCAGCCATTTTCACTGGCTGGGCAGAGAGTTGTGGTTTTCCCAAGCTTCCCGCTGGCATCTTCAGCCATTTTCACTGGCTGCGCCGTGGTTTCCCACTGGCATTTTCAGCCATTTTCACTGGCTGGGCCGAGAGCGCTGTGGTTTCCAAGAGCGTCCCACTGGCATCTTCAGCCATTTTCACTGGCTGGGTCGAGAGCGCCGTGGTTTCCCAGAGCTTCCCACTGGCATCTTCAGCCATTTTCACTGGCTGGGCAGAGAGTCGTGGTTTCCCCAAGCTTCCCGCTGGCATCTTCAGCCATTTTCACTGGCTGCGCCGTGGTTTCCCACTGGCATTTTCAGACATTTTCACTGGCTGGGCCGAGAGGGCCGTGGTTTCCCAGAGCTTCCCACTGGCATCTTCAGCCATTTTCATTGGCTGGGCCGAGAGGACATCAACTCTGCATTACTGAAATTGTAAAACTGTACACTGTGCAGTCACTCTCAGTGTACAGGCAGGTAAGAACTTTAATGCAGAAGCGACAGTGTGTCTATTCTACATTAGAAATCCTGTCTGACAATTTTTTCTCCTAAAGTTCTACTTCAAAAGTGGTTGTAAACTACCTATACCCAGTAAAGTGACTGGTCTCAAGTGATACACACAGATGAAACAAATCCTTCTACGCAAGTTGTACCTGTTTGAACACCTGTGGATAAGAGACGGATGCAGATAAAGTGTACAGTTTAAACAGCATTTCAAATCACAAGGCAGGGGGTGGGGATCTTATGTCACAACCTGCACAGTCAGATAATGCAGCTGAGTGGATCTACTTCCTCTGAGCCCAGGCTGTCATGGACAAACCACTGGATATGCATCAGAATGCTGATCGGGCTTAGAGTACTACTGCACTAAAAGGTGTTCCCCTGTCATTACTGCAAAAGTCTGGTGCAGCAATATGGTCTGTGTGCATGTGCATGCATATGTGCAGGGGGTTCTCAGGAATGGGGGGGGGGGGGGAACAGAATTTACATTTCCAGCCTGTCAGGGTCCTGTCCACGGCAGTTCTGGAAGATCTGGCATTTCTGCCAATACTCTACATGGCCGCAGAAGGACACATCAGCCTCAGTCTGGTGCCAGACGGCCTTTATAAAGGAGGCTCATCACTTCCACTGGTTGCTGGATGATCTCTAGCTCCCCGTGCCCTGTTCCTGTGGTTCTGACTTGTGATCTCCTGTTACCGACTCGGCTTGCTCCTGGACCTGTCTACTCTGATTTACCCCTGATCTGACCTCGGCTTAGCTTATGGATACTCTCTCCCTCTCGCTCCTCTGTGAATGACCTCGGCTATCCCATCTGACTACGACTGCTGATTCCCACCTGGTACCTGACCTTGGCTTGAACCAACTATCCAGTACCCATCCAAATCCCGGAAGGGCTTGCATACCACGCACAGGTGCCTCCTGTCTGCAGACCTATCTCCATGCACCAGCTGTGCTTCTGAGTGGACCACCAACCAGCACTCCTACAGGCGACCTGTGCAACTTTGGGCCAGACTCCCACTGTCCCACTCTCAGGGGAGTCCGGAACTTAGCCGCAAGGGAAGCCTTCTCTCCATTGACCTTCATCACCAGGTGCGTGATACAGACATGCAGTTCTCCCGCCAAAAGATTTGGGGAAGCCAGTGGCCATGATCCATCACACCAATCAGCAGCAAACATCAGGTGCTCAGCCAGCCACCGAGGATTTGGAGCTTGAATTAATGTAAGCGAAGACTCCGCTAGAGCCTCTGCGCCCATGTGGATAGTGGTTTCTCCTCCGTCAAAAGAACCTTGGAGAAACCAAGAAGGTAATGGGGAGGGATGTTCCCATGACTAGGATACTTACAAAAGTAGCCTAGCAACCCCCAGATATGTAACCCCTCCAAGTTCACGGTCTAGGAATCATGGGGAAGCATATACTAGGAGGCCCCTGCAACTAGCACGAAGGCCAGGGGAAAAATTAACAAACCAGTCTGTTTCCGCTAGGCCAGAGGAAATACAAATACTGGGAGGACACTAGGTGACTGTGCTCCTTTTATTTAATTGTGGATGATGTGTTCCCTGTATTAGGTGGGCGGAAACTCATGTGCTGTCCTGGAAGATGAATTGGGAAAAACAGATTATGAAACAGACTGAAAATTCTTAAGGGAATCTTGTTGTGTGGCCAGAATTACATAAATGCCTCCCACAAAAATGACAGCTAGGATTTGTTATTCTGCAATAATCTTGTATAATCTATGCACACCCAGGTAAGTACTTACCAACCAGCCTTTTCCTGTGGTCAGTTTCAGCATCTCTCCCCTTGACTTTGAAGGCTGGATATTCCCAACAGAATCATCCAGAAAGCTATGAGCTCGAATGTCATAGAACAGGAGGGAGCCTTGTCCAGTCCCCACAGTGATTATATGTTCATAGAAGCTCACCGACCGGATACCTTTAAACAAACATATCAACACTTAATTTACACAGAGCAGGTATGGAGATGGCCATACTGACAACAGAACCTTTCCTCAAGGGTGACTTCATGGTCACAAGATTGCAGAATAACTATGTTTAGGGTGAGAATTGATGCGTGATGAAGTAAAATTAAATAAATTCAATCAAAACAGTTTTTTTCAGGTTTACTTTACTTTTAGATATAACATTTTTCCCCCTGATGAAGCCACGTGACCCAGTGGCGCAACGCGTAGGGGAGGAGCCCTGATGTCACGACGCTTAAAGGAATAGACACAGCAAGTGTGAGGAGTGTGGCAAACATAAGAGGATTCTATACCAATGAAAAATAAGACGTTTTTTTTCTATTTGTATTATGTGAGTGCATTATTTAAGCATAATAAATACTTTTTAAAGATAAGGCACTATATTATACTCTTTTATTACATGATAATTATGCACATGGAGAGGAAATGAAAAAGGAGAGGGGGAGAGGGGGATAAGGTCATCCATATATCCAACTCCAGGAAAACAGATCTCTGAGAAACAATTAGACACCCTGCTGGAAAAAAGGGAAACATTCCATCTATCCACCTGGGGACAGGTTTATATAGATATATACAGTTGTGTTCAAAATAATAGTGTGTTGAGAAAAGTGGATAAATCTCAAAATCCTTCTAATAGCTTTTATTTCCATCCACACAAACTGTCTCCGGCCACTAGACCCAAAAAGAACAATCTTACTTTCATCAGTCCACAAAATGTTGCGCCATTTCTCTTTAGGCCAGTCAATGTGTGCTTTGGCAGATTGTAATCTCTTCAGCACATGTCTTTGCGGGACTTTGCGCGGACTTCTTGCAGATAGCTTGGCTTCACATAGGCATCTTCTAATTGTAACAGTACTCACAGGGAACTTTACACCTTCTTTGAAATTCCTGGAGCTGATTGTTGGCTGAGTCCGTGCCATTTTTGGCTATTCTTCTATCCATTCGCTTTCTTCAATGTCTTTCAGGTTTTGGTTGCCATTTTAAAGCATTTACAATCATTTTAGCTGAGCAGCCGATCATTTTCTGCACTTCTTTATATGTTTTCCACTCTCCAATGAACTTTTTTAATCAAGGTACGCTGTTCTTCTGAACAGTGTCTGGAATGACCCATTGTTCCTCAGAATTTCAGAGAAATGCACTGTAACCAGCATGTCCAACATTTGCTGCCTTCCTTCCTTAAATAAGGGCAATAACTGCCACCTGTTTTTCTAAGAATGAATGACCTCACTAATAGAACTCCACACTGCTATTATATTGAACACGCCCCTTTCAATTAGTGATTTAATTACACAGAATCAGCAGCATGCATGTCATGACTGTTGGGTCTGTTGGATTTCTATTACTCTACTACACCTGCTAGTAAATTATTTGCCATGTAGAAATATCATTTCTACCAAAAATAGTGATTGATCAGGTTAGTGATGTCTGACTGCTATTATTTTGAACACAACTGTGATAGATATATATATATATATATTATATATATATATATATATATATATATATATATATATATCCATATCCCCCTCACTAGTGGAAGTTATCACAATTAGACACGGAGTGATTGTGAGAACATATTTGCAGAATAGCACATTAATAGTGTGGACTTATATACACGATTTAAAATGTATTATTAGGTTGAGTAGAGTATGTTGTACAAGTATACACATTTTTTTATTTTTTTCACAATTTTATTTTAGTGAAGCGCAGCACATTTATTTGTTTTTGATTACTTTACTTTTATTGTATACCTGGTGCTCCTGCCAGTATCTTTACTTTTGTCACCGCTTCTTGCTTTATTCTGTCAATGCTATCAGGGGATTTGGAGCTGTTGTAACATTGACAGACAAATGTGTCATCACCGCCCTCACACTACTTGATATTCAGCTTGGCTGCTTTTCAGACTGCTGTAGGAAAGGAGTGTCAGAGAATGCCAATCATTCCTATATCTTCTCTACTGAACATGCGTGAGGTCTCTATAGAACAAAAGAGCGCTGGCACAACCACCCACCAAGTTGCAGGTAGAAGAGGAGGAACCGGATGGTCTAGTGACCACCAATTACAAGCAAGGAACAGAAAGGTATTGCAGTGATTTTTTTTTTTGTATAGATGTAACTGTAGCAACATGTGTATTGATGGGAGATGCCATCATGACCATCAAAACTCAGCAGCCTGTAGTGATGTCTGCAGTTCTTGCCCTCATGCTAAAAGAAAAATTAATGGAACTGGAGGGAAAAAAAAACAGAGTACAATCTTCTGTAACCTATCACAAGTAAAACAGGAATTTTGTACTCACCGTAAAATTTTTCTTGGATTCCATTGAAGGACACAGGAATTCATAACAATGGTCCCCGGCAACAAAAAAAAAAAAAAAAAAACCTGTTGGCCAGCACAAGATAACCCTGCCCACAACCATCATGCTTCGGTTTTGTAACAGAGTAGTATCTAGAGTGGGGTTTCTCAACCAGGGTTCCTTCAGAGGTTGTTAGGGGTCCCTTGAGCAATGAAAAAAAATGTCTGTTTCTCAGATAAGTTCCCACTGAGACCATTGATCTTTTTGGCTATGTGTAAGTGAGAATTCTTTCCAACGACCACAAATGTAAGGAACATTCTTCACAGTGACCATCATATATTTATGGTTCAAGAGTTGTAGATGTAGTATTTATTTCAAGGGTTACCCTGTGTTGAAGAGGTTGAGAATGGCTGACAGCATGAAAAAAACAGGGGAGAGACCCATTTCCCTAAATGGACTCCAATGGTGAGTACACAAATCCCATTTTCTCTCTTATCTACTGAGAAACACAGGAAATTGTAGAATTCTTTGACTGTTGGGATATCAAATTGGGGGGGGGGGGGGGGGGGGGAGCATAGAAACAAGGCTAGGGAAGGGCAGCACAGTGGCTAAGTGGTTAGCACTTCCACTTAACAGAGCTATGGTCGTCGCTTCAAATTTCAATCATGGCACAACCTTTTTATGTTCTTCCTGTGCCTCCACTGGTTTCCAGTGAAAAAAAAAAAAAAAAAAAAAACTCCTGGGGAAGTATTCATGTCCAACAAGAAAACTTGCCAGGAGATAACTCCCAACATAGAAGGAATCTTTCACGTAGAAGCGATCAAAGATGTCCTATCTCACAAAACCTGAGCTTCCACAGCAATACCGTAACAGCCAGAGACTGTTAAGCAGAGTGGTAAGCCAGCCATCAAGGCAGAACATTATAAACTGGTAGTGCCCACAGTGTGTATCCCAAAAGTCTACTAGGTGGGCATAATACATCTAACTGGACCAGACAGGAGTAATGGGGGGGGTCACCAGAATGTCCTCTCTCTTGATCCTGCAACGTAGATGAGGAAGAAGTTTTAAGGAAGGAAAGCATAGATCAAAATGTAAAAATCCCAAGCAACTAGATGATCCATTTACATGGAGACAATCTAGTCCAGTTTGTTGCTGAATATGGATGTCAGGAGGTCAGTGTCTTACACCTGTGACAAAGGACCTGTAACACCTCCAGGTGTAGGGAACACTGCCCCAAGGTCCAGGTGCTGCCAGCTCACGATGTCCACCTGTCAAAAATTTAAGCCTGGTATGCACACAGCAGACAAGGCTGGAACATTTTGACCACTGTACCCTTCTTGCTACAGGAAGATTTCTGGTTCCTCCTGGATGGTTGATATATGCTACCGTGGTGGCATTTCCACCTGAATCTGGATTGGATTACCCTCCAAGCAGGATGGACTAAATCTGCAGACAAATTGCTTGAAGCTCCAGAATGTTTATCAGGAAACAAGACTCCTCTTCCAACCAAATCCCCAAGACTCCTTCCCAGTTTTACAGTCTGGAATCCATCAGTAGGATCCTCCAAAAAAAACAGAAGGAGGTTCTCAAAATTTACAGAGTTAGGAACTGCAAAATATTGGGGTGCCGTGAAGAGGCTAAGCAGCTTACGCATGTATTTGCAAATGTGTGCAAACTAAACCTCGGTTTTTAACGTGAACTGTTAGACTTGACAAATCGGTTGGTTGCAGCTGGTTGGTAAGTTGTGCTGGAAATGTTTCTTTGTTGTTGTTTGACATGCGTCACCCTTCCATGTGCTCCTTGCTGCAAAGGCCAGTTATAGACTGGGGAACTTACCATTTGTTTGCACAGAGAGAAGATTGACTGCCTTTCCTTTTTTTTTTTTTTTTCCTTTATTACTGACATGCGTCGCCTGGTTCACGTAGTCCTTGCTTCATAAGCCAGTTATAGACTGGGGCAGGTGCCATGTTTTATTACACTGTTGTTTTTAAGGTAAGTGAGTGCACTGGGCGTCCTGGCTGCCATTGTGCTACATGCTGGGTGGTCTCTGCACTCCTGTACCTTTAAGAGGGGTGGGCTCCCTTCATGTGCACCTGCCCCTGGTCTATCCTTTAAATGCATGTGCCTCTACTATGGGGACTCTCAAATTTGTAGAGTTAGGACCACAGAATATCAGGGTGCCGTGATGTGGCTCTGTGGCTTACGTATGTATTTTCAAATGTGTGCTAACTAAAACCCGTTTTTAACGCATACTGTTAGACAGGTCAATTTGGTTATTGGCAAGCTGCCTGGTGAGTTGATTTTTGAACCATTTTTCCTTTATTACTGACCAGATTGACTTCTTCCATGATGACAGAATGTTGCAATGTAGACGTCTGGTGGGGAACGAAGCAAATAGGATTGCCTCAAAAGAAAGCTACCATAAGATCCAAGGATCTCACACAGAACCAGGGAGTCGGGCATTACTTGGATGGAAAGCTGGAAACAGACCGAAAAGCCTTGTGCAAGAACACTGGCTTAGGAGGTGTCCAGAATCAGAGTCAGTCCCAGATAATTCAGAACAATAACCAGATATAACAAACGAGGATTCTGCTCTAGCAATGACTCCTGAAGTTTTAGGATCCACCCAACTCCCGGGCAATCAGGCCACTATGCCCATCAGAGCTGCAGCAACTGCCCCCTAAAAAGGAGGTTATCCATGTACCCCACAATGGGGATGCCAGAAGACCACAGCAAGGATTAACTGGCGCTAGTATTGAGCTGAGGTAGAAACAAGAGACTGAAGGGCCGAAGACCCGGTGCAACACTCTCTGCAGAATCCCAAGAACACTGGCCTGGCCACGAAACTGGAACACAGATCCGGTTGCATATACATACAATTTTCAATGGCCCCAGTCCCAACATTCAAGAACAAATCCCCAGACAATACTTCACATTGTGAAATCTTGTGATAGATGAACACAGGGAATACCAGTACAGGGAACTAAACCAGAAAAGCCTGTTTTTTGAACTGGAGAAACTTCAAGATTTAACTTGTTTGGCACAAACTTAAAAGTACTCATTGGTTGACTGAAGAGACTTTCAGCATTTGGCATTAAATCGACCAGCAGCAGATAGGAGAAAATCTGCCACAGAAGAGCAGAGCTGCAGAAAACACATAAACCCTCCTGAGGACACTAGTGAACACTGAGACACGTTCGTTGTGGGCAGTGTTATCTTATGGTGGCCAACAGCTTTTTTGCTGACACCATCTACTCTTCCTGTATGCTGCAGTATAGCCCGACAGTCCTAGAACTCTAAGAATTCCTGTATCCCTCAATAGATTAACCTCCCTGGCGGTCTGATTATTTCAGATTTTTGGTGCTGAAAGCGGTACCATTATTTTGCATGGAAATATGTATTTTTTTTATTGTAGGCCTGTAATTTTTAGGAATAACTCACCGAAATCTGTCCGAACAAGAGTCTAGTAAACATCCCGGGGATGATAAAACTTGAAACACGAAATCATAAATTATAATTTAATAAATAATCATAAAAAAACAATAATATAATAATAATAAATTTAATTCAATAATATAATCAAACCAAAAACACTGAAATGTGAAACAGAGCGCCAAGTTCGCACATCGCTGAGCTCAGTCGCAGAATCGTTTTCAGTGTCTGATGAGGAATTTCCCCCATAAATCATTATCATTCAATTCTGCAAGTGGTTCTGATTTCCTATCGCTGTTCTCTAGCCGGTCTAAAACCGCGTCTGACCTAAAGAGACGCTTTTTGGACACCATGGACGTTTCTCAGTTTCCAGGCAGAAAGAACAGTCAAAATGCAGACAGGGGACAGGACAAAGCACTCAGGACAAAATGTATGTGAAATGGTTTGAAACAGCAATGTTATACTATGTAAAATTAATTTTGAAAAAAAATGACTTTAAAATTTTCAAATTTCCCGCCGCCAGCGGCGTCCGTACGTCCCGACATCACAGGGACCAGAACGCAGAAGCCGGATGCCGGCAACAGCCGGAGGAGATGGCCGGGGACGCTGCAGGGGACACATTGCGGGAGCGAAGGACAAGGTAAGCTCTGCAGGGACTCCCAATGCAGCGCCGCATGGTAAGCCCGAGTGCAGCTCGGGGTTACCGCTAGGGAGGTTAAAAAAAAAAAACAACGTTTTTTCTTCTTCATTCTTTGGAGTATTGTGTGTTATTTCACTTAAATTATGTAAGAACCCATTTCCTTGGGGGTCACAACAAATGAATTTAGTGTGAACAAACAAATGAACATCTTTTAAGATCTGATCACTGAATAAATGGTCTAAAGCAGGGGTCTGCAAACTATGGCCCTCCAGCTGTTGAAGTACTAGAAGTCCCATCATGCCTCTGCGTCTTGCAGTTCAACACCTGGAGGTCCATAGTTTGGAGACCCCTGGCCTAAAGGCTCATTCACACTTGGAGCAGTTACCAGCACTTTTCTGCATGGAAAAATGTAGGTGCAATGATGCACAGAAAATAGTTTTGTGGGTCACGTTCAGAGCAGAATGTTTGCATGTTTGCAGTGTCACGTTTGCATATCACACCGCTCTGCTCGAATCCCCCGCACGTCACTGCACAGAACTGCAGCGCACTGCTTTCAAGTCAAAAGATCAAAAAACATTACTGCAGCAGGGCACATAAGCACTTCAAGTCGTTATTTGTGTTAACCACTTCCAGTCCGGACACTTTTACCCCCTTCCAGTCCAGGCCAATTTTCAGCTTTCAGTGCTATCACACTTTGAATGACAATTGCGCGGTCATGCAACACTGTACCCATATTAATTTTTTAGCATTTTTTTGAAAAAGATAAAACTTTATTTTGGTGGTATTTATTCACCACTGGGATTTTTTTTTTTTTTGCTATATAAATGAAAAAGTCCAAAAAATTTTGAAAAAAGGTGTTTTTCTTATAAAAATTTGCAAATAAATAATTGTTTTTCATAAATGTCCAAAATGTATTCCCTTCTTTTTAGTAAAAAAAAAAAAAAAAATAACCAAAATAAGTTTATAACCAAAAAAATAATTTACATTTTTTTTTTAATTTTTATATTATTTTGTAACATACGGTCACCCTAGCAGTACAGAGTTACCATAGTGACACTGTACTAGTGGGGGTTGATGAAGATTTTTTTTTTTTTTTTTTTACACTGATTGCTTTTATACCCATAAAGGCTGTAAAAGCAATCATTTCCCCTCTCTAGCTGCATTCTTGCAGCCATTGAGAAATACAGAGAGCTGTGATTGGTCACAGCTTGTCACATGGTACAAGGCTGTTGTGAATAGCCTTGTACCATATGACCTCTGTGATCATTCACAGATTTCACACGTAGTAAGCAATGATGTCAGAAGTGACATCTTGCTTACTACTCTGCATGTGATCAGATTGGCCAATCAGTGATCACATGATCGGGACCTCACACAGAGGTCCTGTACAGCGATTGGTGTCAGGTACACGATTGGTTGGTGGGCACCGTTTATGAACGACAACCCGCCCCTGCACTGCCACCGTCCGGCCGTTTATAATCAGCGGCTGGACGGCAAGTGGTTAAACAAAAAAAAAAAAAAAAAAAAACCTTTTTCCTGCCATGAAAAAAACTGAGCATGCTCACATGACCTAAAGCCTTGACAAATATCGTGTTATCAGTGTTTATCAGAAGCACTGTTTGAAGATCAAAACTGCTGGCCCCGCGTACATAGAAACATTTCATACATTAAAATGCAATTCTAGAAAAGAACAAAAAATAAAGTTTTGCTTTTTTTTTTTTCCAAAAAAGTAAAAAGGGGAACTTTGGGCTTTCGTTTCCATCTGTGCTCCCCTGCGGAGATTTCCCTGCATGTGCTGTCCAGTTTGATACAGATTATGACCAAACTCACCACTGCCCTGCTCCCTGCAGTACACGGATCGGACGTTCTGTGGAGGCTGTCGGGGATCCAAGAAAGAAACGTGACCCTGCGATCCCACCGCATACACAGACCACTCTAGGCCATAGGACAGGCATACGTTCTCTCTGCAGTACGGTAACTTGATGGAGAGAAGCTGCACAAAAAACAGAAACCACAGCAATCAATTCATGTCCAAATCCATACATGCCAGATGATACATTTGGCCAGTCTTGTTCTCTCTCTCATATATATATAAATAAATAGTTTATATATATATGATATATATATATATATATATATATATACATATACACATATATATATATACACACATACACACACTTTTTTTTTTTTTTTTATAAAGTGAAGAAACTTTAAGAACCCTCATATAAATTATATATATTTGAGTGCACACAAAGACAATATTGTATCAAATTTCTGGTAACATATGCAAGATGAGGCTGTGTCAAGTAAATAGACAGCAGCCAGGACCCCTCGCCTACAGGGCATTTCTACCCCCTTCCTGCCCAGGTCAATTTCCAGCTCTCAGCGCTGTCATACTTTGAATGACAATTGCACAGTCATGCAATACTGTACCCATATGAAAGTTTTATCATTTTTTTGTAACAGAGCTTTATTTTGGTGGTATTTAATCACCTCGGGGTTTTTTTTTATTTTTTCTTAAACCAAAAACCACTAAAATTTTGGAAAAAAAAAAAAAAAAAAAAAAAAAAAAAAAAACGTTTTTTCTTAGTTTTTGTTATAAAATTTTGTAAATAAGTGATTTTTCTCCTTCACTGATGTGCGCTAATGAGGTTGCAGTGATGGGCACTGATAGGCTGCACTGATGGACACTGATAGGTGGCACTGATGAGCATTGCACAGGTGGCACACTGATGGGCATTGAAAGGCATCACTGATATATGGCACTGAAAGGCAGCACTGACTGATATGGCACTGTTAGGCGGCACTGACTGGCACTGTTAGGCGGCACTGATGGGTGACACTGAAAGGCAGCTCAGATGGGCACTGATATGTGGCATTGATGTGCACTGGTAGGCACTGATAAGTGGCACTGATGTGCACTGGCACGTGGCACTGTTTAGCACTGACAGCTGGCACTTCTGGGGCCACACTGATCATCAGGGCACACTGATGATCAGTGTAGATGTTCCCTCCACGGAATGACGATTACCGCTCTCTCCTCTCCTCTGTCAGTGTGACAGCTCGAGAGAATTGCCGGTAATCGGCATTTCCCTGTTTACGTGTGATCAGCTGTGATTGGACACAGCTGATCACATGACCGAGCCGACATCTTGGGCTCTCTCCGTAGATCGGTGATCCGCATGTGCGGTGAGAACGGGAGGACGACATATGACGTCCTCCCAGAACAAGAGAACCACCTTGCACCCTTCATTGGACTATATGGTGGGCGGGAGGTGGTTAAAAAACCCATGCTGCCTCCAACTGAAGTCTTATGTCAGTGGCTGCGATAGGGTTTAACGCGGTTTTATTCTTTGATAAGAATATGTTGAAGAAGTGAACTTGAAAAAAAAAAATAATACACTGATTGGTAAGCTTTTTTATGATATAAGGAGGCGGTCTCTTCTGTCACAAATGCTTCCTACTGCCTGCCACTTATCTTTCCCTGGTTGTGCACTAAGCCACGCATGTGTTGCTCAGTGTACAATCTTGGCACTATGTCATGCAGGGATGAGCAACTCCCATGCGCAAGCCATTCCTACATCGCAACTGTGAAAACTATGTAAAACATACACTTTGTGCTCAGAAGTCTGACTAGAAACAAGACTGTCATCCCTTTTCCCTACTGTCTGGTTCTAATTTTTGCTCTCATACGCTACACAGTGGGGTTTATATACTAAAGCTGGTTCACTCAGAATCTTGTGCACGTCTGCAAAGAAACCAATCAGCTTACTGGTTTATTTGCTAAAGCCTAATTGAACAAGCTGAGGTTAGAAGCTGATTGGCTACCACAGCTGCACGAGATTCTGAGTGAATCAGCTTTAGTAAATAAACCCCAGTGGATAGGATTTAATGCTTTATCTTCCAAGGAACATCTATGAACTGGCTGACTTGTTGAAAACAATGCACTCCCCAAGTGGCTTACCTTACATAATTGTGCAAGTTTTGCTGAAAATAAGAGGTAAAAAAAAAAAAAGTCACCTTTGCTAGCGTGTGTTTCTGCTTTCCACAGGTGAAAGTAACCATCCAGGGACACAGCACCCAGTTCCTGCACATAACAGAACTCATTAATAAACACAGAAATATACTTTTTTTTTTTTATATATATAAAAGGGTGAAGAACAGCATTTCCATTTTGTTGGATAAAAGTAAAAAGGGACTAGTCAGATCTACATCTTCTCAAGATGTCAACATATTTTTTATTAACCACTTCAAGTCCGGACGCTTCCCCCCCCTTCCAGTCCGACGCCCCCCCCCCCCCTTTCAGTCCCGGACGCCCCCCCCCCCCCTTTCCAGTCCGGACGCTCCCCCCCCCCCCCCCCCCTTTCAGTCCGGACGCCCCCCCCCCCCCTTTCAGTCCGGACGCTCCCCCCCCCCCCTCCAGTCCGGACGCTCCCCCCCCCCCCCCCTCCAGTCCGGACGCTCCCCCCCCCCCCCTTTCAGTCCGGACGCCCCCCCCCCCCCTTCCAGTCCGGACGCTCCCCCCCCCCCCCCCTTCCAGTCCGGACGCTCCCCCCCCCCCCCCCCCCTCCAGTCCGGACGCTCCCCCCCCCCCCCCTTCCAGTCCGGACGCTCCCATCCCCATATTCCCCCCCCCCCTTCCAGTCCGGACGCTCCCCCCCCCCCCCTTCCAGTCCGGACGCTCCCCCCCCCTTCCAGTCCGGACGCTCCCACTCCCCCCCCCCCCCCCTTCCAGTCCTAAGACGCTCCCCCCCCCCCCCTTCCAGTCCGGACGCTCCCCCCCCCCTTCCAGTCCGGACGCTCCCCCCCCCCCCCCCCCCTCCCCCCCCCCCCCTTCCAGTCCGGACGCTCCCCCCCCCCCTTCCAGTCCAGACGCTTTCCCCCCCTACCAGTCCGGAGCCGCCCCCCCCCCCTTCCAGTCCGGACGCTCCCCCCCCCCCCCCCCCCCCCCTTCCAGTCCGGACGCTTTCCCCCCCTACCAGTCCGGATGCTTTCCAGTCCCGGACGCCCCCCTTCCAGACCGGACACTTTCCCCCCCTTCCAGTCCAGGCCAATTTTCAGCTTTCAGCGATATCACACTTTGAATGACAATTGCGCAGTCATGCAACACTGTACCCATATGAATTATTTAGCATTTTTTTGAGACAGATAAAACTTTATTTTGGTGGTATTTATTCACCGCTGGGATTTGTATTTTTTTTCCTATATAAATGAAAAAGTCCAAAGATTATGAAAAAAAGTGTTTTTCCTATAAAATTTTGCAAATAAATAATCTTTCTTCATAAATCTTGGCTAAAATGTACTCAGTTATCTTTTTAGCAAAAAAAAAAAAACCCAAATTAGCTTATAAACCAAAAATTATAATTTTTCAAAACTTTTTTTTACATTTTTATTTTATTTTTTCTATATTATTAATTTATTTTTTTTAACATACCATGGTGACACTGTACTACTTGTAGGGGGTGATGAAGATTTTTTTTTTTTTTTACACCGATTGCTTTTACACCCATAAAGGATGTAAAAGCAATAATTTCTCCTTCTCTCTGGCTGCATTCTTGAAGCCATTGAGAACTACTGTGTGAGCTGTGATTGGTCACAGCTTGTCACATGGTACAAGGCTGTTGTTACATGGCCCTGTACCATGTGACCTCTGTGATCATTCACAGATTTCACACGTAGTAAGCAATGATGTCAGAAGTGACATCTTGCTTACACCTATTCATGTGATCACTGATTGGCCAATCAGTGATGATATGATCAGGACCTCACACAGAGGTCCCATACAGCAATCGGATCGCGGTGCCGAGCGCTACCGGGGAGCGCGCACAATCCAAAATGGCAGGCGCCGTTTATGAATGGCAAACCACCCCTGGACTGCCACCGTCCGGCCATTTATATACAGTGGCCGGACGGGAAGTGGTTAATGCATGTCCTTCTATGTCACCAGGTTTGTAATATTCTGCTTTGATGGCAGTAGTCCTCACTGTTGCACTGAATAGTGCTCACGTAATGTGTGAATGACGATTTCAGAAGCAGAATTGTGAGCTCAGACCAGTGTGATCACCCACACCCAAGAGGTGTGTCCATGGTGGGCCTGGGCTTACGTTAGGTGGGTTGAAAGCCACTGAGAACTTTCTGTGGGGGGGCAGCACTGGACTGAAAGTGAGTATTGCAGCAAAAACTTTTAATTTTTTTTTCCAGTGCAAAACAAAATGATAATAAAAATGATAATTAAAATAGACCCGTCACCAACTTAAGAGTTGTAGTTAAAAGCACAGACTAATTAAAGTGGTTCTAAACGCTCAAGGTTTTTTACCTTCATGTATTCTATGGATGAAGGTAAAAAAAAACCTTCAGTGTGCAACGCCCCCAGCCCCCCCCTAATACTTACCTAACCATCTCCGATCCAGCGACAGTCAACAGCCTCTGCTATCTGGGGACACTTCCTCCTCATTGGCTGAGACAGCAGCAAGAGCCCATCGGGGCTAAGCCGTGGCTCTATGTGTCTTCTGCATGCATAGAGCAGCGGCTTGAGGGCGAGAACACAGCAGTGCCCTCAGGGCGAGCAACTTTCACTGCTCGAAAGGGAAGAGCCAGGAGCGCAGGTGGGGACCCGAAAAGAAGATCAATGGGGCGACTCTGTGCAAAACCACTACACAGGGCAGGCAAGCATAGACATGTTATTTATAAAAGAAAAACAAACAAAACAAAAAAATCCTTTAGTGTCACTCACCCTGTCAAAAAATAAAAGTCAGTAGCTACAAAAAACTGTAGCTGCTGACTTTTAAAAAACAGCCACTTACCTGTCCCTCGGTCCCGTGGTGTGTCCCCCGCAGCCCGTTTCACCGGCTGTCCTGTATTCCAGGAAGCCGGCATCTTCAGTGTGGGCACCCGGCTGTGACAGCTTCAAGCTGCTTCACAGCCGGGTACGCACTGCACATGTGCAAGTAGAGCTGTGCTTCATAAATGGTCCTGTAGTCTTCTGGGACCTGTCACATGTCCCAAAAGACCACAGGGAGGGACACGAAGCGGGGGGGGTAGTAGTCGAATTTGACAGGTCCGATCGCACGGAAGGTGTCCTCCCTCCCTGAAGTCTTTTCGAATACGGGTACCCGCTGCCCAAGGTGCCAATCCTAAACAGGGAGCAGTTCTTAAAGCGGAACTTCCCCTTTTGGGTGGAGCTCCCCTTTAAGCAATTCACATGCTTCTTTATGTTCTACCTTTCAACAACTTTTTTTTTTTTTCCCCCTTGCTGGAAAATCTGACTATTCTAGGAGAGTCCATTCCGTAGCACAGCTTCCTCCCTTCTTGCATGTCATAGCCCTCTCCTCTTCTAGGAGTGTCTCAATCTTTGCGCTGGCCCAGCTCCCCTGCCACTCAATTCACATCCCTATATAACCTTTTATATAGCAAATCAGTGGAAGAGCAAAAGGGGAATACCCCTTAACCAGAAGTTGCTAGAGGTTCCTTGAGTAGTTAATAGTGGCAGATGGATCTCTTGCCCAAAGGTGTCCGGCACCAACGCCATCAGAACCAGTGGTATTGGGACTAGTGTAATTTCTCAGAATAGTTACCACTGGCAAATATGATCATGTTAACAGCCTGTAAGATGAACATTCCTCCAAATGACATTTAACCACTTGCTCTCAAGCGGATTTACCACCCTTCCTGACCAGGCCTTTTTTTTTTTTTTGCGATACGGCGCTGCATTACTTTAAATGGAAATTGCGTGGTTATGAAACGCTGTACATAAATAAAATTTGTCCTTTTTTCCCCACAAATAAAGCTTTCTTTCGGTGGTATTTGATCACCTGTGTGTTTTTTTATTTTTTGCGCTATAAACAAAAAAAAAAAGACCGACAATTTTGGGAAAAAACTACATATTTTTGACTTTTTGCTATAAAACATATCCAGTAAAAATTAAAAAAAAAAAAAAAAAAAATCAAATTTCGTCATAAATTTAGGCTAAAATCTATTTTTTGCTAGAAAAAAAATCCCAATGCGTGTAAATTAATTGGTTTTTCGTGGAAGTTATAGCGTCTACAAATGGTGGTATATATACTGGAATTTTTATTTTTATTATACTAGTAATGGCGGCAATCAGCGACTTATAGCAGGACTGCGGCGGGCATGCTGACACTGGGGGGGGGGGGGGGAAGTAACTGCCACTGACATCCCAATGATACCAATACAGTCAGTGCTAATAAAAATAACTGACACTGTACTAATGACACTGGGCAGGAAGGGGTTGACATCTGGGACAATCAAAGGGTTAACTGTGTGCTGTGTTTTACTTGGGAAACATTCTGCTGTGTATTTCTCTGCCGTGCTTGCGACAGGGTGTCTTGACCACTGAATGCTTCTTATCCCCAGGGCTGCTGTGCCATGCCGGTAAACTATCCGCTTCCGGGTGGAACTGCTGTCAAGGAGGATCACATTGACCGACCAAATAACACACATTATGCTGATGTATGGAATGGAGTTGACAGTAACATTGCCACAAATTACCTTGTTCTTGCTGTTGAAGGCCAGGGCGCGCACTTTACAGTTGGAGGAACTGTTGGTTTCTTTGGGGATATCTTTCAAAGCCTTGTGGTCAATATGTGCATAGACCGGCACCCGAGAATGGCTGTGTTGGAAGTTACATTTATTCATCACCTCGTCGTTTATCTCCCACAGAGCCATTGAACCATCACGGGACCCTGAAAGAAGAAAAAATTTCACAGGCTTTCGCAGGCTTGTGCAAGTACATATCATGGACCCTCAACGCCAGACAAATCAGGGACGGGGAATTCTGCCGCAATGTCTACTGCACCAATAGGCTCTCTTTTGTGGAAGAACCAGCATCAGCCGTATCAATAAGTTCACCACTAGTTCTAGAATAAGAAACCCATTTCCAGCAAAGGCTTGGGAAAAGATAAATTGGTAGAAACCCTTACCCCGAGTCCTGACTGCTGGGTGACACTAGGGTAGGAAATGATGGAAGTGTGGAAGGGGGTAGTTCTAAGAGTAGTAGCAAGTTAAAGGAGATAGTTAGAAGGGTGTATGGAACTCACCTGAAACTGCCAGGGTGTCACTAATCCATGCAATAGAGAAAATCCAGTCATTGTGACTCTCCTGAAGAGAGAAAAGGAAAACCATTACAAGCAACCCTTATCTACGAGGACACTGGTTAGACAGCTATATGGTCGCCTGAATAAGTTGCATCACAGTAGTTATATGGCTGCAGCCTCTTCATAACCGGGGAATCTCAGACATTACCTCTCTATGCAATCATTCCATGGGTACCAACTCATCCATCTTACTGAAACGAGGAATAATCTGATTTTTGGGTTATGTGATGTAATAGGTCACGCGATTTTTTTCTTTCCTAACAAGGCTTACTGTCCTTTTTAATCAGTTTATCCCTTCTTGCCTGTATGGTATTTTTTACTGCCAAGCCTTTCTTCATAGAAGCCATGAACTCCAATGATGATGGTGGGATGGCCTAAAACAGCCGTACAAAGTGAAATAATGCACTTTATAATATTAGGCTAGATTTGCACTACACACCAGCCAGGGTGGATAAAAATCAATGATTTTTTTTAAAAAAAAAAAAAATAAAAAAAAATAAAAAAAAAAACCATCGGATTTTTTTTTTATTTAAATCGGATTTTTTTGATTTAAAATCGGATTTTTTTTTGATTTAAATCGGATTTTTTTTTTTTTTTTTTTTTGATTTAAAATCGGATTTTTTTTGATTTAAAATCGGATTTTTTTTTTATTTAAATCGGATTTTTTTTTTATTTAAATCGGATTTTTTTTTTATTTAAAATCGGATTTTTTTAAATAAAATGCTTTTTGGAGGAAAATATATTACCATCCAAAGGTTCTTCCATCATGAAATAAAGATTAGGTTTTTAATTATGTAGAATAAGGCTGTATATGTTTCTTTTTTTGGTAAATAAATTCCATGAATCCATTCACAATGTCATGCTCTTCCAGAGGTTTCTGTAAGATTATTGGGCAGTTTCTCTGCCTACAAGATATTATCACAGATGATTCGGTTTACTTTTGCAGTTCTCAAAACTGAATGTGACTCAGCGGAGATCACAGGCCTCTTCTTCACAGCAAAAATATTATAACATGAACAGAGTTAAGAAAAAGACCTTCATCCTAACTTCTACAAACCTATGAATACAGAATCAACCCCTTCAGTGCTAAGTTTCAAGAAGTTCAGTGAATAGAAGAGAAACAATATTTTTCTGATTGTTTGGAGTGGAATAGATCTGCAGGAGGAAGGCGACAGCCCGAGGAGGAAGGGGCCGACAGCCCGAGGAGGAAGGGGCCGACAGCCCGAGGAGGAAGGGGCCGACCGGCGAGGAGGGAAGGGGCGAGCGACCGCGCGAGGAGGAAGGGGCCCGCGAGGAGGAAGGGGCCGACCGCGCGAGGAGGAAGGGGGGCGCGAGGAGGAAGGGGCGACCGCGGAGGAGGAAGGGGCCGACCGCAGCGAGGAGGAAGGGCCCGACCGCGCGCGGAGGGAAGGGGCCGACCGCGCGAACGAGCCCGAGGAGGAAGGGGCCGACCGCGCGCGAGGAGGAAGGGGCCGAACCAGCGCGGAGGAGGAAGGGGCCGACAGCGCGAGGAGGAAGGGGCCGACAGCGCGAGGAGGAAGGGGGGGGCGAGGAGGAAGGGGCCGACCGCGCGAGGAGGAAGGGGGCGAGGAGGAAGGGGCCGACAGCGCGAGGAGGAAGGGGCCGACCGCGCGAGGAGGAAGGGGCCGGCGCGAGGGAGGAAGGGGCCGACCGCGCGAGGAGGAAGGGGCCGACCGCGCGAGGAGGAAGGGGCCGACCGCGCGAGGAGGAAGGGGGCCGACCGCGCGAGGAGGAAGGGGCCGACCGCGCGCCGAGCGCGAGGAGGAAGGGGCCGACCCGAGGAGGAAGGGGCCGACGCGAGGAGGAAGGGGCCGACAGCGCGAGGAGGAAGGGGCCGACAGCGCGAGGAGGAAGGGGCCGACAGCGCGAGGAGGAAGGGGCCGACAGCGCGAGGAGGAAGGGGCCGACAGCGCGAGGAGGAAGGGGCCGACAGCGCGAGGGGGAGGAAGGAAGGGGCCGACAGAGCGAGGAGGAAGGGGCCGACAGAGCGAGGAGGAAGGGGCCGACAGTCTAAGTTTCTTAAAATATATATATATTTTTGTTTAGCCAAATTAGTTACCAAACATGGATGTTTAAGCCAATCACATATGCTAGAATGTTATTGTTTCAGTTGAATAAATCTATTTAAATTGTTATTATTAAGGTAATGATTATATTTCTCCTTCCGAAGTCCAACAGAAAAGTTGTCCAAATATGAATGATTAACCTATTAAACTGGGGATAAAAAAGCTAATATGAAAAGTTGTTATTCTAAAAATCTTCATCTACTTGTATATTAAAGTTATACCAGCAAGAATTAGTCTTTATGTAGAAAACTAGGATTTACATCCAGCCTGACTGACTAGTGATTGAAATCACATCCACCCTGACACCAGCGCTTGTTGATTTGCATCTGGATGATGGGGTATAATAGAATGATTTGCGTGGCTCTGCCCACAGTCCTAAAATGAGGAATAATCCTCTTTGGGATAGGTTATGGAATGAGACGTAGGATTTGGCTGTAGAGCCTTTTTTAAAGTTTCTTCTCATAACGGTCTTTAAAACAAAAAAACATACCAATAGGGCTTATAAAACTTGCTATTTTATACCTCAGGGGTACAATGTAACTACTTTCAACACTGCAAGGACATTCCAAGCTTTAAAAGCGGAGCTCCACCCAAAAGGGGAAGTTCTGCTTTAAGGACTGCTCCCCCACTCCCTATTAAGGATTAGCACCTTTGGGGAGCGGGTACATGAATTTGACAGGTACCCACTCCCACTTCTGGTCCGATCGTCTAGGTGATCGGAAGGTGTCCTCCCTCCCTGTAGTCTTTTGGGACACGTGACAGGTCCCAGAAGACTACAGGACCATTCACGAAGCACAGCGTTACTCGCGCATGCGCAGTGGGCACCCGGCTGTTAAGCCGCAAGCTGTCACAGCCCGGGGCCCACACTGATGATGCCGGCCTCCTGGAATACAGGACGGCCGGTGAAACAGGCTGCGGGGGACACACCACGGGACCGAGGGACAGGTAAGTGGCTGTTTTTTAAAAGTCAACAGCTACAGTTTTTGTAGCTGCTTACTTTTATTTTTTTTGTTAGGTTGAGTGGAATTCCGCTTTAAATCTATATTGATGGAGCACTTCTGCTGCCTTTTAAATCAATAAGTGTTCCCATCTCTGCAATGCTGTGAAAACTGACGCTCTTAAAGCAGAGATCCACCCAAATGGGGAAATTCCGCTTTAAGGCTTTGTCCCCAGCTCCCCATTATAGATTGGCACCTTTGGGGAGCAGGTACCTGAATTTGAGGCGATCAGAAGCAGAAGTTGTCCTCCCTTAGTCTTCTAGGACACGTGACAGGTCCCAGAAGACTACGGGGACATTCACAAAGCGCAGGGCTCCTCACGCATGCGCAGTCGGCACTCGGCTGTGAAGCCACAAACTGTCTCAGCCGGGTGCCCACACTGAAGATGACGGCGCCAGGGAGAGAAGACAGGCAGTGAAACCAGCGTTGAAACAGGCTGATGGGGACACACCACGGGACCGAGGGACAGGTAAGTGGCTGTATTTTAAAAGTCAGCTACAGTTTTTGTAGCTGCTGACTTATTTTTTTTTATTTTTTCAACTGGAACTCCGCTTTAAGTAGCCCACAGATGGATCAAAGCTTTGTCGCTTCAGCAGGCACCAGGGCCGAGATTTGATCCACCTATGGGCAGGCTGGTTGTACTGAAGTTGATCCATGGATCAACTTCAGTACAACCAGCCTGTCAGGTTTTTCCTGAACGATCATTGCCGGCAGGTATAGCCACTAGCAGGGATTATTGTATTCTGCCGGACAGGACGGCAGAATACAGTAGAGCTGTGGGAGAGATTCCCCCATCAACACTGACTGTTGATGGGGGAAATCAAGCACTTTTCCAGGGATAGCAGGAAAGAAAAAAAAAAAAAAATCATAGAACGTATGGCCTGCTTTACTTTGTTACAGCTCACGGCAGCTGTACAGAAAGCCTTGTGGAAAACGCAAAGGACAGCCCACAGCCTGGCTTTAGGAGTGTGCTTGACCATGAGGAAGTAGTAATTAACCCGTTGGCGCCGGCGCCTCCTGGCCCTTTAAGGGTTTCAGAAGCCAGGAGGCGGGGCGGGGTTTTAGGGTCATGTGACCGCCGTGATTCGCCATCACATGATCAGGAAAGGTCCCAATCGAAAGAGGAGATCGGGACCTTTCTGTGAGTTCCGGACACGTGTGCTGGGAGCGCACAGGCGCGCGCGCTCTCAACACGTATTTATTTTTTTAAATGCACACAAATGTGCGGCCCGCTCGGAGTCTAGGCCCGGCGTGTGCGGCCGGCGTGAAGAGGTTAATGCAGAGACTCGTTATAAACGTTTTGCAAAGCCATACCCAATCACACTTTGCAAACTCTGCACTGAGCTCTGGGTTCCAGAGTTGGAAGTAGTGACAGTGTCTGTTAATGTTCTACACGGAGTAGACGGCCCCCATGCATTTGGCAATACTTAGGCATTTCGATAAGCATTCCACTACAAGATAATGGGTGCAAGCTTTCCTATGCTCCACCAATACTAGGTCTGCGGTTTAGCAGGAAATTTAGGTGCCACGTGGTAACTTTGGCCTGTTGTGAAGAACATTTCAGGTTACAAAGGAACTTTACACTTTTGGACTGCAGGTTTGCTATCAGTCTGAAGGTAATATATGCCAAGACATTAGTGAAGATAATCACTCTGCATTAAGAACTAAGCCTGCTAAAGATGTGGTGTCAGGCTGACTATACAGTCAACTTATTTTACCTGACATAATGCCCAAAGCTTATAGGGAATTCATTCAAAGGACACGTGGCAGAACAGTTTTCTAGCAGGCTTACAAAAAAAAAAGAAAAAAAAAAAAAAAAAAAAAATTAAGTTCATCTACATTAGAGGTTAAAAAAAAAAAAAAAAAAAACTCAGAATTAACAGGCTGCATGTAAACTGACCTCACAGAAGGCAGCTGGTGCCCTTTTTAGGACTTTATTGCTTTAGACAGCTGAAATGCTGGCTCTATCTTCCCCCCCTTATCTCTACTTTGACTGGGATGTCAATATTTTTGGGAGCAAAGTTTTGATGACAAGCCACCAATAACAAATATACAAAATTGCCCTGGCTATATACTGAGGCTGCCATGGCTATCTTGCATACATACCATTTAAAGAGGAATTTCACCCAGAACATCTGGGACTTTTTTTTTTTTTTTTTCTAGGGGGGGGGGGGGGGGGCGGTAGCGGGTGCCTGGTTTTGACAGGTAGTGACTAGTAGTGTGTCACTATGGTAACTCTGTACTGCTAGGGTGACAGTATGTTAAACAAAATAATATAAAAAATTAAAACTTTATTTTACATGTTTATTTTATTTTTATATATTTATTAAATTATAATTTTTCAAAAAAATGTTCACGTGTGTGTGTATGTATGTGTATATATAATATATATATATATATATATATATATACATATATATATATATATATATATACATACATATATATATATATATATATACATACATATATATATACATACATATATATATACATACATACATACATACATACATACATACACATACACACGTGAACATTTTTTTTGAAAAATTATAATTTAATAAATATATAAAAATAAAATAAACATGTAAAATAAAATTTTAGAAAAAGTAAAAATTTTTGGTTATAAACTAATTTGGGTTCTTTTTGTTCTACTAAAAAGATAATTAAATACGTTCTGGCCAAGATTTATGAAAAAATATTATTTATTTACACAATTTTATAAGAAAAACACTAAACACTTTTTATCAAAATTTTTGGACATTCATTTATATAGCAAAAAAAAAAAAAAAAAGAAAAAAAATTCACAGTGGAGAATAAATACCACCAAAATAAAGTTTTATCTGTCTCAAAAAAATGCTAAAAAATTCATATGGGTACAGTGTCGCATGACCGCGCAATTGTCATTCAAAGTGTGATAGCGCTGAAAGCTGGCCTGGGCAGGAAGGGGGTGAAAGTGTCCGGACGTGAAGTGCTTAAATGATAAAATTTCACCTTTTGGAAAGAAAAATAACCACTTTTTTTGCAGTTAAAAAAAAAATGTGCATTTATTTTTGTCTGCAGGAGCCTGGAAAGCATTGCACCAGCGATCAGCAGATCTCTGGTGCCATGCAGGTCTCCTGCAGATCTGCCAGTACATGTTCTTGCCTCTACAGGATGTACAAGCAAGTAGATAGATATACTGACAAGAAGAATTAATGATCTACCATGACACTTCACAGCGTCATTGAGGATTACAAGCGGACAGCTTCTAAGGCTGATGGGACTTGTAGTCTCTCATTCACAGATGATTGTGAATGAGTGACTCGGCCGTGTGGGCGGAGCCCTGCACGGTCACATTCTTTTTTAAATTTCACGGCTAGTGAGGGGGGAGAAGATCCCATGCTAGCTGTCAAAGCAAGGATTGGGGGGCGTCTGACTGCAGCATATTACACCCCGAATATGGTCGTAATATGTAACATGTTACGAAAGGTAACATCCTTTAAGAGGTCGGCCCCTGCACCTGATTGATGAATCGGCACGGGTGAGGACACCGCTGGATCCCTGGACAGGTAAGTGTCCTTAAATTAAAAGTCAGTAGCTACAGAATTTAATTTATTGTATTGATATGTATGTTACCAACAGAACCTCCTAAATGATCCTGGCCCACAGGAATAGGGATCCAACAACGGGATTGCAGGAGATACTGTGCCCAGGATTACTACACCGAAGAAGATCTGCATATAAACTTGAAACCCACAAACTGTAGAAGACAAAGATCTGTATGTACAAATAAACAAAGTAATGCAGCTCACATCTCCCACACAGACAGGATCCAGGGTAGGAAGCCGGTAGACGGCCAGGCTGTTGGGGTTATCACCTCCAGTCGCCAGAAGGGTTCGAGAAGGATTGAGCTCGATGGCGTGGATACCGCAGCTCTGCAGTGCTGTATGGGCAGGTTCACGATCCTTTAATATGGGAATCTTTGTAATCTGTCCAGTATAGACGTCCACCACAAACAACTGCCAGAGAAATAGAGAATTGTTACTTGACCCAACAAGAGAATAGGCCAACTGCCCAAGTATCCTGTGCAGCATTTCAACATTTTTCACCGCAACGAAGATTAACCACCTCCAGTTCGGACACTTTCCCCCCCTTCCGGTCCGGACGCTTTCCCCCCCCCCCCCTTCCAGTCCGGACGCTTCCCCCCCCCCCTCCCAGTCCGGACGCTTCCCTCCCCCCCCCCCTTCCAGTTCGGACGCTTCCCCCCCCCCTTCCAGTTCGGACGCTTCCCCCCCCCCTTCCAGTCCGGACGCTTTCCCCCCCCCCTTCCAGTCCGGACGCTTTCCCCCCCCCCCCCCCCCCCCCCCCCCCCCTTCCAGTCCGGACGCTTCCCCCCCCCCCTTCCAGTCCGGACGCTTTCCCCCCCCTTTCAAGTCCGGACGCTTTCCACCTCCCCCTTTCAGTCCGGATGCTTCCCCCCCTTCCAGTCCGGACGCTCCCCCCCCCCCCCCCCTTCCAGTCTGGACGCTTCCCCCCCCCCCCCCCCTTCCAGTCCGGACGACTAAATTCCCTTCCAGTCCGACGCCCCCCCCCCCCTTCCAGTCCGGGTCATGCAACACGGTCATGCAACACTGTACCCATATGAATTTTTTAGCATTTTTTTGAGACCGATAAAGCTTTATTTTGGTGGTATTTATTCACCGCTGGGATTTTTTATTTTTTTGCTATGTAAATGAAAGTCCAAAAATTTTGAAAAAAAGTACTTTTCTTATAAAATTTTGCAAATAAATAATATTTAATCATAAAGCTTAGCCAAAATGTATTCCGTTATCTTTTTAGTAAAAAAAACAAAAAAAAAAACCCAAATTAGTTTATAACAAAAAATTATCATTTTTAAACATTTTTTTTTTTTTTACATTTTATTTTTTTATATTATTTTTTTTTTGTTTTATTTTTTTTTTTACATACTGTCACCCTAGCAGTACAGTGCCACCATGGTGACACTGTACTACTTGTGGGGGGTGATGAAGATTCTTTTTTTTTTTTTTTTTTTTTTTTTTTACACTGATTGCTTTTACACCCATAAAGACTGTAAAAGCAATCATTTCCCCTTCTCTCTGGCTGCATTCTTGCAGCCATTGAGAAATACTGTGAGAGCTGTGATTGGTCACAGCTTGTCACATGGTACAAGGCTGCTCTGAATAGCCCTGTACCATGTGATCTCTGTGATCATTCACAGATTTCACACGTAGTAAGCAATGATGTCAGAAGTGACATCTTGCTTACTACTATGCATGTGATCACTGATTGGCCAATCAGCGATCACATGATCGGGACCTCGCACAGAGGTCCCGTACGACGATCGGTGTTCCACTGTTTCCGGAGGACACAGCGGGCACCGGATCGCGATGCTGCATGCTCCCAGGGAGCGCGCACAAGCAGGGGGTGGGGAGGCCATTTATAAACGGCCACCCGACCCTGCACTGCCACCGTCCGGCCGTTTATATACAACCGGACGGGAAGTGGTTAAGATCCATAGAGGGGGTGGGGGTGGCATCAGAAAAAAAACCCTTACATTGGTGACGGATAAGTGGGGAAAAAAGCCCCTATACAGTGGTGGTCAGAACGCCAATCTTGCAGTCATGCCTCTGGCTCTGGGCAAGTGGCGTTGGACCTGGAACTATGCAGTCACCGTTGGATGGGAAGTCCATTAACCATAGCTCAAGGAACCCCTAGACACCATACTTGAGAATGGCAAATCTAGAGAAAGGACTGAACCTTTTCCACAGCAAATTATAGATTCTCTCCTTTCAATTCAGCTTCACCACACAAGAAAGGGAAGAAAATAATCAGAGTTAATAAATGACAAAAAAAAAACAAGCTTAGAGACCTGGTTATGTTAGTGGGAACAAAATTGCTGCAGATATGAGGGGCGTTCAAGTCAAACTGGGACTTGTATTATAAAAAGGAGTGGAAACTGCATTTTGGTTTTTTTTTTTACATGCTCCCCTGCTACATTAATACTTATCCCAGCGTTTTAACGAATGCCTGGAAAGCATCATCATAAAAAGATCTGTCAATAGGCCTGAACCATCCTAGGACAGCCTTCTTCACTTCATCCAAGGAACTCTTTTAGGGGTCCAAACAGGTGGTGTGAGGTTTTTTTAGGTTTGTTATTCTTATTTAAGGTTTGATTCTGGAAATGATGTGCTCAGGTTTCGTCAAATGTAATTATGGTGTCCGTTTATGACACAGAGAATAGCTGCGATTCAACGGATCTCAGCTATTCTCTGGTCATTCACAGTTTATGACACTCAGGAGATCATGTCAGCCCTTCACTGGAGATCTGTGTTCTCCCTCCAGATTCTCCAGCCCAGAGCTGGAGAATCAGAGGGATCGCAAACTAAGCAGAAACAATTTACCTCTGCTTAGTAAAATGATCTTTTACTGTAATCTCGCGGGATTATAGTAAAATCAGCCGTTTTCCAGAGTTTGTAGAACGTTCTCCCTTCGTTTCAGAGACCGTTTCCCTTCGTTCGGAGACCGTTCTCCCTTCGTTCGGAGACCGTTCTCCCTTCGTTCGGAGACCGTTCTCCCTTCGTTCGGAGACCGTTCTCCCTTCGTTCGGAGACCGTTCTCCCTTCGTTCGGAGAACTGCTTCATAAACTGCATTCACAGGAGAACTGTGTTCTCCAAGAATGCCGGAGAACTGAGCTGCGATCTATTACCGCTGGTTCATAAACGGACACCTATGTCCTCCAGAAAATCTTGGCCTTCCCTGTCAAAACACTCCAACGTAGTTGAACTTCAACTCTTCTGTGCCGGTGAAAAGCGGAAAGCTGTCCTGGTACGCAACGTACGCTAACTTGTCGAAAATGCAAATGTTTGTGAATTGTGTTCACGGTTCCCATAGAAAGATTTGTCTCTTGTGCAATTTCACGACAGGTTATGGGTCGCTTATCCAGGATCAGGGGTTACATAGTTAGTCTGGCTGAAAAAAGACAAAAAGTACATCCAGTCCAACCATAAAAAAAAAAAAAAAAAAGTTAATCCTATACCCACAGTTGATCCAGTTCACGTGCCGCTGAAGAGGGTGTGCAGGAAGGTAGAAGTATTTTATTGCAGAAGAAACACTGCATGTCTCTTCTGCGATAATACCCTGCCTGCTCGCAGTCTGTTAAAAAATGGCTTCAGTTACATAGTTAGTCTGGCTGGAAAAAAAAAAAAAAAAGACAAAAGTCCATCCAGTTCAACCATTAAAAAAAAAAAAAAGTTATAATCCTACACCCACAGTTGATCCAGAGGAAGGCAAAAAAAAACCCAGCAAAGCACGATCCAATTTGCTCCTGCAGGGGAAAGCATTCCTTCCTGATCCCCCGAGAGGCAATCGGATATTCCCTGGATCAACTTTCCCTATAAATGTTATATCCAGTTATATTCTGTGTATCCAAGAAACAATCCAGGACTTTCCTACAGCAATCCACTGAGCTGGCCACAACCAACTCTTGAGGGAGTCTATTCCACATTCTCACAGCTCTCACTGTGAAGAAACCTTTCCGTGTTTGGAGATTACATTTCTTTTCCTCCAGACGTAAAGAGCGCCCCCTTGTCCTCTGTTCCACTTGCTGAACGTTGATAGGAATGACTGCTGTGGGCTGGGAACCACCATGGCCGGCATAGTCACTGATGGATGTACGGCCATTTTTGAAAGTTTACTCCATCCAAATGTCTTACTACGGCTGAGTGTCTCACCACCATAATGTACTGGAAGTCTTCTGGAGATATCTGCGGGTTTTACGCCTTCATTCGGAAGAAAAGTCATCCCCACGCAGCTCCATGCTCACACTAACACTTGTCTGGCATCTTGATTAACAGTCTCTGGACTGGTCCGCCACATGTGCACCGCCTATCAGTAATAGGACACACTTGCCACTCACTACTGTGTGTAGTACCACCATACTAACATTCCTTTTTATACCTGTAAAATGAAAAGTCCCGGTTTGGCTTGAACTCCCCTCACACACAGAGTAGGCACATACAGTTGCAAGAAAAAGTATGTGAACCCCTTGGGATTACGTGGAGTTTTGCATGAATTGGGCATAAAATGTGCTCTGAACGTCATCTAAGTCACAACAATAGAAGAACACAGTCTGCTGAACATAATACTACACAAACATTAGATGTTGCCATGGTTTAATTGCACATAACATGTAAACAGTCACAGTGCAGGGAGGAAAAAGTATGTGAACCTTTGGACTTAATAACTGGTTGACCCTCCTTTGGCAGCAATAACCTCAACCAAACGTTTCCTGCAGTTGCAGATCAGACCTGCACAACGATCTGGAGTCATTTTGGACCAGGAGTGAGCCAACCTTGACTCCAATCAGTGTGATGATATTGGATGTGTTGCTGACAGCTGTCCTGCCCTTAAAAAAAAAACACATACCTGTTTTGGGTTTACTGGTTTCAAGAAGCACTGTCTGATGTGAACCATGCCTCGCAGAAAAGAGCTCTCAGAAGACCTACGATCAAGAATTGTTGACTTGCATGAAGCTGGAAAGGGTTACAAAAGTATCTCCAAAAGCCTTGATGTTCATGTGTCCACGGTAAGACAGACTGTCTACAAATGGAGAAAGTTTAGCACTGTTGCTACTCTCCCTAGGCGTGGTCGTCCTGTAAAAATGACTGCAAGAGCACAGCGCAGAATGCTGCATGAGGTAAAGAAGAATCCCAGAGTGTCAGCTAAAGATCTACAGAAATCTCTGGCACATGCTAACATTTTTGTTGACACATCTACAATAAGGAAAACATGAAACAAGAATGGAGTACATGGGAGGACACCACGGAGGAAGCCATTGCTGTCCAAAAAGAATATTGCAGCACGTTTGAAGTTTGCAAAGAGCACCTGGATGTTCCACAGCACTACTGGCAAAATATACTGTGGACAGATGAAACCAAGATTGAGTTGTTTGGGAAGAACACACAACACTATGTGTGGAGAAAAAAAGGCACAGCACAC